TAGGAAACAAAATGACAATGGCTTAAAACCATAATAATGTTTCATTCTTTTTTTTTTTTCTTAAAGTCTGGCAGTAGGTACTTAGTACAACAGTGTCATCATGGATTCTGGTTCTTTTTCTCCTGCCATTCTATCTTCTTTAGCATGTCCTTGCAAATGTTGCAAGGTGGCTACCATAGTTCCAAACTTCACATCCTCATAGAACATGTCTCATGCAGGAAGGATGGAGGAAAAGGACTTTCTTCTATCTTTTATTAGGGTAGAAAATCTTTCCCAGAAGTTGTCCCTGGCAGATTGACATTTCATTAGACAGGACTTACTCAACATGATTCAGTCATGTGAGGATAGAATGGTCAAGATTGGCTTAGATCAACTGGATTCATTCTTTGGGTCAATACATTTCCTTCTGAATGAAATCAGGGTTCTGGGTGCCTGGGTGGCTCAGCTGGTTAAGCGTCTGCCTTTGGCTCAGGTCATGATCCCAGTGTCCTGAGATCAAGCCCTGAGTTGGGCTCCCTGCTCAGTGGGGAGCCTCCTTCTCTCTCTCCTTCTAATCCTCCCCGCCCCCCATGCTCTCTCTCTCTGTCTCTCTCTCGCTCTGCACTCTCTCTCTCAAATAAATTAAATCTTTTTTTAAAAAAGAGAAATCAGGGTTCTGTTAGTAAGGACGATGGGGGGTTTGGCAGTTGAATGGACAACCAACAGTGTTCACCATATGCTTCTCCTCTCTTCTTTCTCTGATGTCACTTTAGGATTTTACCTGTTATAAACCTGCTGATGCCTTCCAAATATATCTAGTTCTAACTTCTCCTGAGTTCCAGACACATTATCATCTGCTCATTGTACATCTGCAGTTGGGCATCTTGCCAGTAGCTTGAATTATGTCTAAAATGGTACTCTCCATACTTCATCCTGGAATTGAGAAGAACTCCATATTTCTACCAAAAATACTGATTAAGACACCACTGCTCACTCATTTTCCAGTACCAGGAAACTGAGAGTCACCTTGGACTACTCCTTCTCCATTATTTCCCATATCTAATTTCAAGGTCCCTTGACTTTAACTTTTTCCAATTTAACATATCTTGTATCCATGCTTCCCAAATGGATCCATTAGTATGTTTTTTTTAAAAAATTATTAACATATAATATTTGTTTCAGGAGTATAGGTTTGTGATTCATCACTCTTACATATTTTTTTTTTTTAAAGATTTTATTTATTTTTTCATGAGAGACAGAGAGAGAGAGAGAGAGAGAGAGGCAGAGGGAGAAGCAGGCTCCCAAGGAGCAGGGAGCCCGATGCGGGACTCGATCCCAGGACCCTGGGATCATGACCTGAGCCGAAGGCAGACGCTTAACCATCTGAGCCACCCAGGCGCCCATCATCACTCTTACATAATACACAGCGCTCACCACAAACATACTCTCCCCAATGTCCATCACCCAGCCACCCCATCCCTCCCACCTCCCTCCACTTCAGCAACCCTGAGTTTGTTTCCTGAGATTAAGTCTCTTATGGTTTGTCTCCCTCTCTGGTTTCATCTTGTTTCATTTTTTCCTTTCTTCCCCTATGATCCTCTGCCTTGTTTCTCAAATTCCACATATCAGTGAGATCATATGATAGTTGTCTTTCTCTGACTGACTCATTTCGTTTAGCATAATACCCTCTAGTTCCATCCATGTCATTGCAAATGGCAAGATTTCATTTTTTTGATGGCTGCATAATATTGCATTGTATATATATACCACATCCTCTTTATCCATTCATCTGTCGATGGACATCTGGGCTCTTTGTTTTTTTAAGATTTTATTTATTTATTTGACAGAGTGTGAGAGAGCACAAGCAGGTGGAGCAGGAGAAGGAGAGGGAGAAGCAGGCTCCCTGCTGAGCAGGGAGCCCAATGTGGGGCTCGATCCCAGGACCCTGGGATCATGACCTGAGCTGAAGGCAGACACTTAACCATCTGAGCCACGCAGGTGCCCCAGACATCTGGGCTCTTTCCATAGTTTGGCTATCGTGGACATTGCTGCTATAAACATTGGGGTGCAGTTGCCCCTTCAGATTACTACATTTGTATCTTTGGGGTAAATACCCAGTAGTGCAATTCCTGGGTTGTAGGGTAGCTCTATTTTCAACTTTTTGAGGAACTTCCATGCTGTTTTCCAGAGTGGCAGCACCAGCCTGCATCCCACCAACAGTGTAGGAGGGTTCCCCTTTCTCTGCATCCTCACCAATATCTGTCATTTCCTGACTTGTCAGTTTAGCCATTCTGACTGGTGTGAGATGGTATCTCATTGTGGTTTTGATTTGTATTTCCCTGATGCCGAGTGATGTTGAGCACTTTTTCATGTGTCTGTTGGCCATTTGGATGTCTTCTTTGCAGAAATGCCTGTTCATGTCTTCTGTCCATTTCTTGATTGGATTATTTGTTCCTTGGGTGTTGAGTTTAATAAGTTCTTTATAAATTTTGGATACCAGCCCTTTATCTGATATGTCATTTGCAAAGATATTCTCCCATTCTGTCGGTTGTCTTTTGGTTTTGTTGACTGTTTCCTTTGCTGTGATGAAGTCCCAATAGTTCATTTTTGCCCTTGCTTCCCTTGCCTTTGATGATGTGTCTAGGAAGAAGTTGCTGTGGCTGAGGTCGAAGAGGTTGCTACCTGTGTTCTCCTCAAGGATTTTGATGGATTCCTGTCTCACATTTAGGTCTTTCATCCATTTTGAGTCTATTTTTGTGTATGATGTAAGGAAATGGTCCAGTTTCATTCTTCTGCATGTGGCTGTCCAGTTTTCTCAACACCATTTGTTGAAGAGACTGTCTTTTTCCCATTGGATATTCCTTCCTGCTTTGTCAAAGATTAGTTGACCATACCCATTTCTGAGTTCTCTGTTCTGTTCCATTGATCTATGTGTCTGTTTTTGTGCCAGTACCCCATATTGTCTTGATGATTACAGCTTTGTAATAGAGCTTGAAGTCTGGAATTGTGATGCCACTAGCTTTGGTTTTCATTTTCAACATTCCTCTGGCTATTTGGGGTCTTTTCTGGTTCCATACATATTTTAGGATTATTTGTTCCATTTCTGTGAAAAAAAGTTAATAGTATTTTGATAGGGATTGCATTGAATGTGTCGATTGCTTTAGGTAGCATAGACATTTAATAATATTTTTTCTTCCAATCCATGAGCATGGAACATTTTTCCATTTCTGTGTGTCTTCCTCAATTTCTTTCATGAGTATTTTATAGTTTTCTGAGTACAGATTCTTTGCCTCTTTGGTTAGATTTATTCCTAGGTATCTTATGGTTTTGGGTGCAATTGTAAATGGGATCGACTCCTTAATTTCTCTTTCTTCTGTCTCGTTGGTTTATGGATCCATTAGTTTTTAATGTGGTTCTGTATTTGTGAGTTTGTATGGCTATAAACACAAGTGTTGTACATGTGCAATGTAAGCTTTACATGAACCTGGGAACATTATCATTCTTTTTTTTTTTTAAGATTTATTTATTTTTATTTTGGAGAGAGAGAGAGGTTGGGTAAGAGGCAGAGGGAGAGGGAGAGAGAGAATCTCAAAGCAAGACTCCCTGCTGAGCAGGGTGCCCGCTGTGGGGCCTAAACTCATGACTCTGAGATCATGACCTGAGCCGAAATCAAGAGTCAGATGCTTAACCAATTGAGCCACCCAGGCATCCCTCATTCTTAATACCACTTGTGGTGCATACTGGCAAGCTAACAAAGGGGAGAGAAAAACTGTAAAACCTTGGTTTGGTTTTGTAAAGTAACACTAATTACAGTTATTTATGTGAAGTTTTATCATTTGTTCCTAATTACCATGCATTAAAATAATGATTAAGACAATAAATGTGTGTTAGATTTACTTTTTTTGGTAAGTTTTATTCAATTATGACTTATAATAATAATATATCAGTGCTTATTGTTGATAGTAATATAACACTGTAGTTTGATAACAACTTTTAGAACCTAGAAGGAATGTTGCTTACATTCCAGAAAAGAACGTTTAGATTTACAGTTGTCTCATGGTTACCAAAATTAAGTTTATCCCATTTTTATTTTATTTTATTTTATTTTTTTAAGATTTTTATTTATTTATTGAGAGAGAGAGTGATGGAGAGAGAGCATGAGAGGGGGAGAGTCAGAGGGAGAAGCAGACTCCCCGCGGAGCAGGGAGCCCGATGCGGGACTTGATCCCGGGGCTCCAGGATCATGACCTGAGCCGAAGGCAGTCGCTTAAACAACTGAGCCACCCAGGCGCCCTGGTTTATCCCACTTTAGCTAGTAAGACTTGATAGCAGGTGAAATTGAATGACACAAGAATGCTAAAGCAAGTTTAAAAGTAGAGGAGTGAAAGATTAATTATCAGCACAAAGTATTAATATAAATTTATTATCACAATTATAGGTCTTCCAGGTACTACAAAAAGCAGGACTTGACCAAAGTGCCTTAGTATGACTAAATCAAACTCATTTAGCCTAAAAAACACTCTTTCCTATTGTTAAGGATTACTGGTCACACTCAGAGAATGCAAGCAATTGCCATAAATATAATAATATAATTATCTTAAAAATATATTGATAAATATATATGTATACATAAATAATAATAAATATTTATGCTTTGCTTTCTTGAGGCTCAGTATTTTCATTCAAGAATTATTTTATTAAACTGACCTCATTGCTTAGCATAAAATACTGTTGAGGCAGGAAGGATATAAGTATCATCCCCTCCATTTTGAAGATGATCAAACTGGTCCCAGAAACTTACAGTATTTGATTAAGGGTCTATCAGCAACTTAAAAGCAAGCAGTTGGAATAAAATCCTGGGCCTATGGCTTCTCATTTCAGCTGCTGTTGTGGGTATTTAGTTTTCTAATGCCTCAGTTACTTAACCCATCTGTAATATGGGTAGAATCTTTATGGTAGCCATAGTCAGTAGCCCCGGTCCTCCCAAGATTATTATGAAGAATAATAATTAAACTGATTGGTAGTTTGCAAAGTATAGGGTGTTCTTTAAATAACAAACAACATCATATGTTAGTGTTGGTTCCATTAGACCTTGCTCACTCTCTTACAAAGAGAGTAAACATTCATTTGGAATTACAAAGCCTCAGCACGTGCTCAGAAAGTGACTAAGAGTAAAGGATTTGACTCCTCCATGTACATAGTACATATGGACTGTCAACACTTCACAAGTAAGTAGACTCCAGAGTCAAGGCTGGGTTTCCAGTATCTGAAAGTCAGTGATAGAGGGTTGCCCTCTTGCCATGTGCACCAGTTTTCGTTCCTGTGTGGCAATGAACAACTTTGGCTGGGCAACTGATGTGAAATAGTTCTTAGTACCATGGCGTTCCCAGAAGAAGAGAAGGTTGGTCTCATCTCTGATGGTTTTGGGTGTCTCAGGCATCTCCTATGATAAGGAGAACAGAGATATGTTAAAGAACAAGATTCTAGACATAGAACTGAAGTGCAATCCCTTGACATTTGGCCTTTGTGAGAAATATAGCACTTTAGGACTCTGACTATAATATAATGATAGAGATTCTTCATTCACTTGTTCATTCAGCAAGCATTTATTACATGCCTATTAGATGTATGGCCCAGTCTACACATAATAGTTAATTTCCTTACTTAACTGGAGAGAAATCCAGATTAGTCATGGATTGCCAATGACAGTAGTGTCTCACTATATTGTGGCAGGTAGAGTAAAAACATTGTTCTTGTCCTGCAAAAGGCATTTTGCATAAAATCTGAGCACTCCAATTGAGACCTCTAAACATTTGACTGCTAAGCATGCAGATCATATCTTTGAGAAAATAATTTATCATTAGAGATATTTGTCTCCATATTTAAGCCAACAATTAAAAGTTTAATCCCCCCCACCCCACACACACACTTCCAGGTATATCAGCAGCTGATTCCTTTCAGTACAATTTTTGACAATTGTGATCTCTTTAGGCTGTACTATACTTGCGAGTATGAATAGAATAACAATACTTTCATGAAAAAGCGAGATTCACATTTCAACTTGAGATGCTTCTTCTGTGTTCTTTTTAATCTAAACCAACTAATTATCCTTTTGAGGTTTCCTTGGGGTTTTCAATGTCAACAAGGAATTTAACTTCCCAAACCCACACCTCTCCTAGTTTTTTCCCATCTCATTAAATATATTTTCTCCCCTCCCTCCTGTTGGTTCTATCTCTGAAATATAACCAGTTCTGTCTACTTATTTCTATCTGCCTCACCACCCCGACTCTCATGACTATTATTATTACCTTCTAAATAGGTTCTGTGCTTTCCCCATTGTCTTCCTGCTGATCTATTCTCCATTTTAGAAAATATAAGTGAAGTTAGGACAATTCCTTGTTTGAAACCCTTTAATGGCTTTTCATTGTACCTCAAATGAAACCCAAATGCAAGGCTCTGCAAACACTAGCCTCTGCTTATCTTTCCTCCTTCTCACAGTGCCCCAGTTTTAGAGTGTTCCTTTTGATTTCTGAAGCTGGCCTTTAAACTCTTGAAGCTCTAGGTCCTAGATGCACTCAGATCCCTCTCTTTAGAATGCTCACCCTCACCTGCCATCTTGCGTCATACTCCTTCCTATCAGCAGATCCCATCTCACAGGGAGCTCTGCTCTTGCCACTCTATGTAAAGGGCACTCTCCCATTTTTCTCTATCTCAGGACCTTGTTTATTTGCTTTACAGCATCTTGTACTTTTTGCTGGTGGTTTGGCTTGTCTACTGTCTGTGTCCCCAAGAAGACCAAGTTCTATGAGGCTAAGGACTTTGGTTCACCATGGTCTACATAGCTGTTGGCACTATGTTTGAAAAAGAGAAGCCTCTCAATAAATAATGCCTGTTGAATGAATTCATGAATGAAGCTACTGCCCTAGTCTTACAGACATCATTTTTACTTCATCTGATCCGGGTGCAGAAATACATGCACCTACAAAAATCCTGGTTGGAGTTGGGGGTTTGCATTATACATTTACTAAGTAAGAGTCACCTACTTATCAGGGGAGTAAACATCTAAAGCTATAGTGGGCGTGTGTATGTCTGTATGTTTGAGGGGGAGGTGGTAGTGGAGATGGGGCTGGGATGAAGGATAATACTGGCACCAATGAAGAGAGAGAAGCAATGGAGTCAAAAGGCCAGAGTTTGAGTCTTGGCTCCCAGTTTTTTGTTTTGAGCCCATTGGCAGGTGATTAACACTCTCTGCTCCTAGTTGGCTTATTTGAGTTTCTTGGAATCAGGCACCACTGTCCTAATGCCTACCATCACATAGGTCAGATGGTAAATATTAGTAAGGTTCAAGATGGATGGAATAAATGGATGCCCTGGGATGGGAGGTGGCTAGGGTCAGGCAGGGTATGAAAAAAGAAGGAAGAAGGCCATTTACCTTTTATTCACTCTTGCCACCTCCATTTTACTTTCTCATAGATTCTGCCTAGAGGTGTCTCTGGGAATAGGTGAGAAGTAGCATGTGGGGGTAGGTGGGCAGGTGGAAACTGTGGTAGGAAGAGAAGAGGATTGTGCTACCCCGCTAGGGGTATCTGCCTATTGGAATTATTCACAAACATATGGGTTGTAAATGAAGGTAAATTGGAGACTGAGAACGACTGACCTTTAGCAATACAGGTTCATCTTCATTTTGGGCACTCACAAATAGTCTAGTTTTTGAGATTCTTAGAGTCACAGGAAGTTTAGAATCTTTTGATGTATAAGCCCCCATGTCAAATTTCACTGGCAAAGAGAAAAGCCAAAAAGAAAGTAAATATATTGTATTTGAATGAAATCAAGTTTTATGTAGATTGTGTGTGTGTGTGTATGTGTGTGTGTGTGTTTGTAATTAAGTCTCCAACTATGGTGTAAACACCAGAATGGAATTCCATACATCTTTGTATCCTTCACAATGTCTGCCATATTTACTAGGCAGGTAATACTTGGTTAATGTCTTTAGAATTTTCTATGTTGAATGAATGCTTGGGGGCTATTTGTTGAATGTCTTATAATTACATTAATGGGATAAGACCCTTCAACTTGTGAGCTCATGAGTTCACAATAACCTAAAATGGAGGGGTTTAGGGAAGCTGATATACTCATGTTGCTAGTGATAGTGAAAAGTAGTTGTTTTCCTTAGAGAACAATGCTTAATAAGAACTGTATAATTATTTATCCCTAGGAACCCAGGAGTTCCATTTTTGGGGTATGATCCAAAGAAATAACCTCATAGGGAAAAAATTATATATACAAACTCTATTGCAAAACAGAGTTACTTAGAGCAAACCCAAAGGACCAGCAAAGCAACATGATTGAATATTCTAGTGCCATTAAACATGGCAAATATATATGCTGTCTCAATATGTGGGGAAATTATGTGACATAATATTAAGTAGGAAAATACAGCACAAATAATTTGTAAATGTCATGGAGTAAAAAGCATGTTATCCAAAGTATGTCCAATCAGAAAGAGCCCTGTTTGCAAAGTAGCCTCTTTGGAGTTCTGAAACTAATTTTGTATACTGGAGTCATGTCCTGAAGCTAAAATATATATACCATAGAAATTAGATTTGTGTGACAAATTTCTTGGACACTAAATTTCATCCTCCAGAACATATTCTCAGCTTATTGGATGTTTTGCTTCACAACTATGTTATCAAAGATAAGATTCTAGTTTGGTGTTATTTGTAAATTTGAACAGTAAGCTTTCTAATGGAGAGTGATTGCTCTTTATTGGCTTCTTGGGTAAATTTGGGTAAGTCATTTAATATTTCTGAGAGTCAGTTTCCTCATCTTTAAAACCAAGGATGAGAATATCTGAGAGAACCAAAGGAGATACTTCATCAGAAAGCTTTATACTTGGTGCTCTCAAAGATAGGAAACTTCTCTCTTGGTGGAGCTTCCTGATTTGGCTGAAGCTCCTGTCCTTGCCCTGAATTTTACTGGGGGTGTTGTGTTTCATCCTATTCTAGAAGAATTGTACAAAGCTAGGAATCTAGAGAGGTTTATATTTTGAAAGCAGAAAGTTTGAAAGAAATACAAAAATAAGAAGAGAGGAGGATGACAGAGCTGTCCACTTACCTGCATCTTCCAGATTCTGCAATGCAGCAGCCATGAGGTAATTTCCCCCTGTTTGTTGAATTATACTTTGATTGAGGTTGTCATTCAGGATGAATTGGGATTTGATGATCCTCATATAGTTGTATTTTTCATTGCTATGGAAGTTGTATGCTACTGATCTGGGCTTCATGATTTCTAAAACCATTATCACAAGCTCAGATTAATGTCTATGTATAAACAGAGATGCTATATCTGCTCTAATACAAGCATCAAAAGTAGCTATGGAAGGAACATTAGGAATATTTTAATCCAGGTGAAGAAACTGAGAGAGAAGAGAAGTCACCCAGTTAGCAGAAGTGGTTTTTAGGATTATCCCCATGGTTGCTTATTTCTTTTTAAACTTCAATTCCTCAGACAGTAATTTTTTTAAAAAGAGATTATTTGTTAAATATTTCATTTTGGTTGTTTGGAGGTTTCTAAGAAAATAGGAAGACTGCTAGCATTCACTATCTACATTTTTCAAATGAATACACTGAGAAAAAAATGAATATATTAAGACCATATATGTCACTGAGGATGCAGGTCTAAATGTCTACTCCGTTTTCTGGACAGTGGTATATATCAACAGCTTCACAAATCCTCGTGTTTCTGAGTAATTTTATGTCTAGGAATCTATTCTAAGGAAATAGTGATAAAAATGAAGATATATGGATGCTATTGATATGGATGTTCATTATTATATTACTTATAATATTGAAAAACTGGTACCCTAGAATGCCCTTGATATATTGCTAAGTGAAAAAAGCTGAATATAAAATTGTATATAATATAATCCTAATAATGCTTGTTTATATGTGTGTATGTACATGAAAAAGACTTTAAGTTGCTGATTGACCCTTAATCAAATACTTAAGTATTTTCTCTAGTCTTGGCAGTGGCAAAACTCTTAGTGTTTTTATTTTCTTTTTTACATTTTCTTGTATCTTCCTATTTTCTAGGTGAATGTGTATTAGTGTTTACCTGTTACCTTAAAAAGCTTTTACTTAAAAAATATTTGGTTTATGTTTCATGTAGAGGCTTATACAGTAGCAGCATGGGAGAATAATCCTGACTGTTAAAATCAGAACTGAATTTGGTTTAAAGCTCTCCCACTTACACACTATGTGACTTATCTAACTGAGCTTAGTTTCCTCCTATGTAAAATGAGAATGTAAGATTGTTGTGAAGTGTAGAGATAATGTCGCCATTAATAAACTAGCAGTGTTGGTAGCATTAACAAAGGTAGTAGTAGGAGGAGGAGGAGGATGAAGAGTAATGACAATACCTAACATTTATTGGGTATTTATGTATTAGGCATTATTCTAGTCCAGGAGCTTACAAGTATTGACTCATTTAATCTTCACAACAAGTGGGGACTCTGATTATCTCCATTTTATAGTAGAGGAAACTGAAGCACGGAAAGGTTAAGTAACTTACCCAAAGGGGCATAGTTATTATCTGGAGGAATATAGGTTGTAAGTAGTCACCTGCTAACAGTATATAATTGCTTTCTGCCATAAGGATAAAAGTCACATGACCTTTACAGTATGGCCACAAAATGAGCCCATGAGGAAGTATTCTGTAGACTCAGGCCACTGCTCCTCTCTCCACACTGGAGAAGGATAAAAATTAATTTTCCTTCCTTATAGTTACTAGACTGATGCCTGGTTGCCCTCTTGTTACTCTGATTCTAGGTTTTATTTTCTCCTGTGCTCTGTTGTCTCCATTTGCTTAAAAATGGAAAACTAAGGTATTATTTGCACTTGAACTCTTACCTTCTTCTGCATCATTGGTAATGGCTTCGAGGTCATCATCAATGATGAATTGATTTAAACTCAACCGTCTCTTCTTCAGAACCTTCCCGTTAGCTGCCACCACCACCACATTCTCCTTGAAGATAAGCTGAGATGTCTTTGAGGTTTCAGAGGTACTCAGACACATGCAGTGCTCATGAAGTGGGTCATAGCTCACATCATAGAAGGATTTCTAGGAGGAAGGAAAATGGAAACTGAGGGACTGCATATGGTCATAGAATGAAATCCCTTTCAGTAGAAGTTTTATCCAATAGATTTAGTGAGAAGGATCTCTATTTCATCAGTCTTCTCTTCCCCATTCCCTCTCTTCTCCCCCATCTCCCCATCTTTCCCTCCCTCCCTCCCACCTTTCCCTTGGAAAATCTGTTGAGCATGGAGAATGTCATCCACTATTAGTGTAAAGAGGCAGTTGGTCTCACTTATGAAGAAGAAATGTATGTGTCTGAACCTCTAGTGAGGGTGAAACAAAATCTTCTAGGATTGAAGCTATTGCTGTTTTCTCCTGGTAGAGAAAATACTGTGTAAGAATAGCAATCCTGTATGTGGAATTTAAGAAACAAGGCAGAGGATCATAGGGGAAGAGAGGAAAAATGAAACAAGACAAAACCAGAAAGGGAGACAATCCATAAGAGACTCTTAATCTTAGGAAACAAACTGAGTGGGGGGGGAGGGGGATGGAAGGATGGGGTCACTGGGTGATGGACATTGGGGAGGGTATATGTTGTAATGAACACTGGGTATTATATAAGACTGATGAATCACAGAACTGTACCCCTGAAACAAATAATATATATTAATAAAAAAAAGAATAGCAATCCCATAAGAATTACAGTCATTTGCTTACCTGATTCAGAGAGAGATGGTCAATTTCAGAACTGTATTCTTCATTTTCACTGTCAAACAAGATAATGAGAATGTTTGTTATATAACTGCAGTCACTGGGCAACATATTTTAATGACCACATTAGCTTTGGGTAACACACACACAGTCATTACTGTCATCTTTGAAAATTAAGCACTTCTATACATATACATACATATATGCAGTAATTTGTGCCTCACTAATTTGGAATTAGTAAGCATCAGGACAGGTCTTGAACTTTACCTGTGCTTTATCTCTAAAAGTGGGGCTTGGCTAACAAATTGAAGAGTTGTAGTTGAATGTCAGGGAAAAATGTTAACCTCCTCAAGAGAGAAATGCTTTTGAAGCACCTCATTTTATTTATTTATTTATTTTTAAAAGATTTTATTTATTTATTTGACAGAGAGACACAGCGAGAGAGGGAACACAAGCAGGGGTAGAGGGAGAGGGAGAATCAGGCTTCCCGAGGAGCAGGGAGCCTGATGTAGGGCTCAATCCCAGGATCCTGGGATCATGACCTGAGCCGAAGGCAGACGCTTAACAACTGAGCCACCCAGGCGTCCCTGAAGCACCTCATTTTAATTTTAAGCAAATCCGTCATGTGTTGTACATTGCTTCCATGTATTCACTGAAACAGATTTAATAATTTATACTTGGGAACTATCCAGCAACATTTTGATAGCCTAGTTTCTGTTAGTATATATTGATAGGTAATGGGAATACCATGTTTGTTTAAACTATCCTATAATTTTTAATTTTATTCATTTACCCTTCTCTTATGTCTGAATGAGGTTTGACTGTGTATGTGCATTCACATGCTTAAATTGCTGTGGAGCCATTACCTCTTCCAGATTGAGATCCAGAAGTTTTCCTGAGAATGGTTTCTCTCTCTGACAGTCCATTAAAACCCATTACGGTATCAGAGCATGTGAACCTGACTGAGGCTGTGTCTAAGTAGATGTTGAAATTCACTAGGACTCAGGAGACTACAGAAATAATTTTTCTAAAATGGCTGTCTCCCTGTCAGTGTCCTCTCTGTGTAACATGCTAGATGCTTACTTTTTCTGGATCTTTGCTGAACCTGCCCTGACTTCAGAGGTAGGACACATCTCTATACCTCTGCCAGTCTGGCTCCATGCTCGTTACTCTAACTCCTAGATAGATTCTAATGTACCTTGATCCCCTCATTAAATCGCAAGAGATAGAATTGATTTCCTACCTGTAACAGTTCTTCAGGTCTTCAAAAAGGTCAGGAACTTTGGCCATCTTGACTTCTGCAACAGAGAACACTGGTGGCTGTCAGCCTAGCCAGCCACTGAACCAAATGCCCGGCAAAGGGAATCACCTCAGCTTTGTTCTTCTTGAGAAGCTTAATGAATGACTTAGCCCATACTCAGCATTTTCCCCATTCTTCTTTTCACTCCCTTGAATTATTTGCATATGTATCTGCCTCCTCTCCTAGATTGTAGACTTCTTTTAGAACTTTGGTATTCCTTATGTGCCCAACCCAATGCATTGTACATAGTAGGCATTCAATGAAAGCTTGGATAAATTAAAGAAAAACCCCCACAAGAATGAGGTATTTGCCTTATATAGATGTAAGAGAGAGACAAATTTGGAAATTTCTAGTGTTCTCCTAATAGTTTTAGTAGTAGAGACTCCCTCCAAGGGAAGGCTTGGCTGCACCCAACAGTGCCCTCATATGAAACCAGTTCTTCTGTCCTTCAGTTCCCCATCAGTAGAAAGAATTATTTTCTGAAATCTGACTGTGATTCTAACTCACACACCAAACCAGCGACAGACAAGAAAGGAAGGAAGAGGCTTGTACTTCCAAGAAGGCAGTTTGAGAGACAACGGCCAAGGAGAAAAGCAAAATATATTTTAAAAGTCAAAGATGTGATAAGGACAATACCTTTGCTGGCTCAGGCGCCAATGAAATGACTCCCTCTCTGTCTGCAGACTTGGCCCTAGTCAGGCTACTTCGCCTTTTGTCTTCTTGGGGTAGGCGTGGTCTGTGTGCGTCACGGGGAATTTACAGGGAAGAATTGTATTTTTCTTTGTTCCTTTAACCGGAAACTGGCCAAATAATGACAGATTACATACTTGATAATAGTGTTGTTTGCAAAGATTCCAGGAGTTTCTAACTTGGCTCATTTGTTTATGGGTTTGCTCTAAACAATTATAAACATGTAGTCTTAGAAAAAGGGAAGAAGGGCAGGAAATGTAACTTTCTAAAAACATATGGTAGGGAGGAAGGGACAACTCCTAAAATCAGAATTCTAGATGCCTGGAGTTGGAGAGGAGCTTAGGAACTGTAGTTTGTTTTTTAGCTTAATTTGTTTTTTTGTACTCTGGGGGCTGAGTATGAATTGATGGAATGCTTGGCAGCCCCTGGCAAATAAGGGTTGGCTGTGAGGGAAGATGATCCATCTTTTCTGAAGAGGGACATTTGTTGAATAGGCATAAATCACTCTGAGTGTGGGGAGACAACCTCCTGGTTAGGGCCCGGTAGGGGAGAGAGAAGTGATAATCCTCTTACTCCTCTGACTACTGTTAACCCATTTCCTATAGAAGTGACAGGGCTTTAGGAGAGCGCTCCCTGCCCTGGCCATGTTACAGCAAAGTGGCCCTCTATCAGGGCCCAAAGGGAAGTCTGGTCTTTTCTAGAATAAACCTAAGGTGTGTGAGGATAGCTGTAGACTCAAGGAAATATGGGCAAAGCCCTGGCCAAAATCTGGTAGCTGGATTTGAGAATAGAGGTTAAGGGAAGGGGAGGGACTCTTACATACGACACTACATCAGTGTTGCCTGGCTGTTATTATCAAAGACTTTTTTTTGGTATCCTGAGGCTGGCCCAGTTCAGGTGGTAGAATATCAGACTCTTGGCAGATAAATGTTGAAGGTTTCCTGTTTGGAGTTTAAGCCATGTAAATTTTAAATGAAGAAAACGGGTGGAAAAAGAGGGTACAGGTGGGGAACAAAAAGGTAGAGAAAGATGAGGCATGGCAATGTAACATGGTATAAAAAGGCAAGACCATTCAGAACTGGGAGTGAAGTGGCTTGTGTGAGTTGGGTAAAGTATTTTCTCTAGTCTTGTTTAATGGTAAGTAATGGGTTTGGTTAGATGATCATTAAGGTCTATCCTAAGTGCAAAATCTCTGATTCTGATTCTATTGCTAGTCCGGATCCTCCTGGTCATAGACCTGGTCACAATAGTTATAAACAAGAGCCACAGAAATAATGTATCCTAGATGTAGACAGTGTAAATTTAGGACCAGATTGGGGCATATCTTGGGTGTCTCAGGATGGATCCTTGTTTGAATGGTGATGGTAGCCAATTCTCTATGCCCGTGGTTCTCCTTCAGGCAACACAGATATTAATCCTGGTTATTCCTTCTGCCTCCCGGAGATCTTGTGAGGACTATTACCAAGAAACAATTGCAAAGCACATTGTGAATGTGGGCTGCTATCGAGATGCAACTAAGCAAAAATAATAACAGTGCTAATAATGGCTTCTGTCACTTGGGAACCCGTATAGTCATCACTATAATGCCTTAGTTCACTGAAGAAAATATAGTTCTTATGAAAATATTGGTTTGAAAACTTCAACAGGGAGGACATTTTCAGGTGAAGGCCTCCCTTGAAACCCTGAAGATATTTAGTTTCTGGGAGGAATATATAGTATCTGTTTGGTAATCCAGGAAAACATCCTTGGTTCTACCATTAGTGGTAACACCTGTCCTGGCCTTGGGCCCTCCTCTGTTGTAAAGATTAGAATTCCCTGAATGTGGTTGTTGAATTTCTCAAGGACAGTTGGAATTTTTTTTAGACCGCCAACTCAGGTTGAGGTTTCACTCTTTTTCCTTCATATGACCTTTTTGGAAACTGGCTTTTAAAGGAAGAACAACATGTGTGAGGTTTAGAGAGTGGAAAGTCCTCACTTTGTTTTGGGGAACCTACTTTTCTGTATGTGTGTACCAAGACTGACTTGTAAGTAAGCCTCATCATCAGACCACCTCCTCCTGGGGAATGGAGAGAGAAACATGCTAGGTAGAACTCTACTGGAGCCCAGGGGGTCTTTGGGGGCTGTCCTGTGACACGAACTTTGGGGGCTTCAAGCACCCACCTCTTGACTCTGAGGAGACTTCAAAAACTTTAGTCGTTTTCCACCTAGATCATACAGAAAAAAAATTTATTGTATACTTATTCTGTGCCAGAGTTTTCGTTAGACATAAGCATTCTTTCAGGATTCACAAAATTAGATATGCAAGATGAGATGATATATTTTGGTAGGTGAGTAGATACACCCTATAAACCTGGAGGTTGCGGGTCCAAAGAATCATGGTGGTGCTTTTCATTTGAAAACTGCCTTATACTTCACAAAGAGCTCTCACTTGCATTGTCTCACTGGCTCCACACTTAACCCACAGAGGTACTGATTACTATCTCTTTTCACAGCTGAGGGCCCTTGAAGATGTTAAGTGGCCAATCTACAGTCACAAAACTGGCAGAGCCAGCACTCTAACCTCAGGTTTCTGTTCCAAGTCCAATCTTCTCTTTCCACTGCATTTAGGTGTTCAAGTCTCTTACCTCCACCAAACGCCAAGTGATGGGAAAAGTGGCGGGGCTCAAAGAGATCATTCTTTT